AACCCCTTGTCCCTGCTGGCTCCACCCATTTCAATCCACCCTGAGCCCTGGAGGGCTCCCTGCCCTCTGCCACCCTCCTGCCCCAAGTCACCCCATGACACCGCTACCTTCAGTCTTTATTGGTATAAAAGCCTTCATCCTAAATTATATCAAAAACAGGGAGGCCTGGTCTCACAACAGATGGCTCAAAATGGTCACACAAGGGTTATAAGTTAATGGCTGCAGTAAAAAGGCTCCCAGGAAATTCCCTTTCAGGAGAACAGTAACTCAAGTGGTAACTTCAGAGCTAAAATCCAGGGAGGGAGCGCCAAACCTGGCTTGGACCTGCCAAAGCCCATGGCAACATACCCCCCCTTCCCCGTGACTGTCCCCATCCAGGGCAGTGGCCCCTGGGCATGGTCCTCATGGTGCAGTGCTCCTCCTGCCCCAGCGAGCCCAGCGAGTGATGCTGCAGCCCCAGCAGGGAAGGGCAGGAGGAGCAGGGCCCATTCAGGGCATTGGGAGAGAAGGCAGCAGCTCCCAGGGCTCAGGAGAGCCTGGACCAGAGCTGGTATCGTCCTTGTGCCCGGCCTCCTCACAAAGCCCCAGCTGACAGCTCGCCCTAGGCCAGCCATGAGGCTACAAAGTCTGTTAAGGCACAATTCAAATAATCTGTAAACAGTGGTGCCCTCTCAGGGGAGGGTCCAACAAGCAATTCAAGTAAAGGTGGAAGTGAGACGGTGGCTCCCCAGCTGTGCCACCCAAGCGCCAGAACCAGCAACTCCTCAGCCATGGTGGTGGGTGGAGAATCCTTGGTCACCTTCTGGCCGGGGGCGGCTTCAGGGCCACCTTTGGGGAGGGTGTTGGCGGGGGGTGAGGGAGGGCTGGTCGTGGCTGCTCCTCCCCATGGCACGATGCCTTGCTCTTCAGTGCTGGGTGAGGCTTGCTGGGCGGCTTCGGCTTCACCTGGTGGGAAGAGACACCCGAGTCCCTCGCCTGGGCACCAAGAAGGGACCCAGAGGGGGACAGGAGGGAGACGCAGGGAGGTT